TGCTTGATGCCTTTTTTTTTTTTAATGTTTATTTATTTTTGAGAGAGACAGAGTGCAAGCAGGGGAGGGGCAGAGAGAGAGAGGGAGTCACAGAATCTGAATCAGGCTCCAGGCTTTGAGCTGTCAGCACAGAGCCTGACTTGGGACTTGAACTCATGAGCCATGAGATCATGACCTGAGCTGAAGTCTGACGCTCAACTGACTGAGCCACCCACATGACCCTGTGCTTGACCCTTCTAATGTCTTCACTTTAGAGGAAAACCAAAAATGTTAATGAAATAGTAGTATTGGTGAACTGTGGTTCACAATCATATTCATATAGTAACTATTTCTATGTGTTATCCATGATAGACATGATTGTCATTATTACTAGATTATCTTAGGCTGTTTTGAAACTTATTAATATGATTTCTAATTTAGTCTTAGCTACTGTGGGCTAGATTAAGATTCATTTCATAAGTGTCCTGTCATTATGAACTCCAAATTCCCTTCTAATTTGATTCAGATTAGAGATAATCATTCATGGCTAGAAGTTCAATTTAAATATTGGCTAAGTCACACCATTAAACTGTCTAGTTTTTAAATGTCCTTAGGGATACCCTGGTTACTTTATTTTAAATGCAAAATTTTTAAAAGCTTCTCTATTTTATTTATTTTTTATTGAAGAGATTCAAGTGGGAGAAGGTACTTAACTACAGTTTTATCCTTCTCATTATGGACATAGGGCTAGAACATCATAGCATTTTTCACTAAACCATGAGTCTGCATATGTTAATGTCTCTAGCAGCTGTTCTGAACCTCAGATTTCTGCTTGTTAAAGTTAAGAGATAAAAAATTACCACGAACAAAAGCCTTGAGTAACATGTTCAAATAATCCGCTTGTATTGACTGTCAACTTTTATAGTAGCCTCTCCATTCCTATAAGCATTGTAAGTATATGATTATAAATCTGTGATTATTTTATACAGCTTTGGCTAGTTCATCTGAAAACCAGAATGAACCTTAATATTGAAGTATAATGGTAAGGAAATCCTATTCTCTTTCAAATTGTTACTTCTCTTCGTTGTACACTAGTACAATGTCAAAGATTTATTTATTTTTTTCTTTTAAAGCTGGTATAGCTTCTATGGTTACCGGACTGATTTTGAATAATAAAAGAAGGCATATCAAGGCCAGAATTAATAACACTAATGAAGACACCTATTCTTAGGAAGAAATAAGACTGGTTAACTATTGACATTCTTTTCCACATTTAAGATTGTGAAAACCATTTCAAGTTTTAGATTTGTAAGAGTTAGCAATTTTTGGTGGCTATTTTGAAGCCATGGATTGCTTATCAAACTTATTTTTCCATATGTGTATAAAAGGATCTGGACATTGACGCAGTTTTGTTATATTGATTGTGAAAATGTTTAAATATATAAGTAGTTGGTGAAATTTGTATAGAGCATGCAAAAAAAGTCTCTTGCTTTGTAAAAGTTTGAATCCTAACAATATCTGCTAAAATATAAAAACAACTCTGAAATTGCCTAAGAAAAATGCAGATCTTTGAGGATACTACTATTGCTTTGCTGCCCTCTACAGTCATCTAAAATAATCGCTCTTGATTTTTCTTCCATCAGATGATTAAAATACTTACGTGACCTGTGAGTCGGTTGAGTAATATTTACTGTTAAAATATATTTTTTAGTTAGTCACAATAGTTGATCCATACCTATAATGCAAAAACTAAAGGACTTAGAATTGGAGCAGGGGATAAATTGGGGACTGAGCGTCAATCAGAAAATAGGTAAAACAACACCAACTGAGAGCTAGGTGGTTAGAAGATATCACAGTGAAATAAGACATGGTGGTTGGTCCCAAGTTTATAGACCTATTGGTAAGACTAACTGTATGTTAAAATATATACAAAAAAGGTGTTTGTAAAAACGTTGCAAGTAGTATGGTACAGCCTAAAAGAAAGATCAGTAAGACCTGGAAGAGTCAAGGAAAGCTAAGTAGAGGAGACGAAACTTTTGAGTTGTGTCTTCAAGAATGGATTAAATTCAGACAAGTAAAACAGGGTTATATTAAAACACAAAGGATCTGTTACACAGAAAGGGCTATGCAAGGGGCCTTGGAGTCTTTGCACTTAATAAATGTAAATTTTAATTGTTAGATTTGGAATTAGTAGTGTGTCTGTGTGTGTGTGTGTGTGTGTGTGTGTGTATGTTAAGTCCAGTTACTTAGCCTCTCTGCCTGTTTCATCCCTAAAAAATTGGCTCAGTACTTCATTTACAGAGTTGCTGTGAAAATTAAATGAACTCCTTAAACTACACAATATAGTGCTTTATAAATACAACTAACAATAATGCAAGGGAAAGTGAATTGTCTTATATTAGAAATATAAAAGTATTGTGGGATTATAGAAGAAGGAGCAGTTTTACTGGCAATGGAAGAAGACTTAATAGAAGGCCTAATTTTGTAGCTGAACCTTGAGGGAAGAATTTAGATTTCCATTTGTGAGGGAAATTCAAAGAGAAAGAGGGCATTCCAGGCTGAAAAGATCACTGGACTGAGAATTCTGTGGAAGGAATGTTCCCGTGTGGTTCAAGCATAAGCTTTTTGTAGGGAAGTCATGGATTTTTAAATACTTTACTGATGCTGAGGAGAATGTGTATGGTAGGCAGTGAGGAGCTTTTGAAGGCAAGTAACTACTGAATCTGTCTGATTTGAGGATGTTGTATTGCTCTGATCGCAGTGTATAAGATATATTGGAGATATGAGAGACAAAAAGGAATAGCCATTATAATCGTTCATGGAAGAGAAGGTTGTGAAGACAAATAGCATTTTGGTAGAAGGCTTGAATGGAGTGATGGATCTGAGTAGATTACCTAGTGTTTGGATATCATAGTGG